TTTCTTTGGCAACTTTTTAGCAACAAATGAGCAACAAATAAATATTTAAATTAGAATCGATTCTGCTCACTTTGTTCCGCTAACTTATAAGACGTGTGGAAATATGCGAGTGGGATTTTATGGAATAGGCTGCTGGATTTGATGAGACAAATATGGAGAGAAGGAAAGATACCCTCGGATTGGAAGAAAAGCATAATAGTGCCACTATACAAGAGAGGAGATCAAGAGAGGACGGGTAATTACAGAGGTATCTCGCTATTATGTACGACGTACAAGGTTTATGCGGAGGTATTAAGGAGCAGGCTAAAGATGGAGGCGGAAGAGAAGGGGATGGTTCCGGAGAGTCAGGCGGGTTTTAGAAAAGGAAGGTCAACGGTAGATAACATATTCGTGCTGAACCATCTGATTCAAAAGATAAAAGGAAAAGGAGGTAAAGTGGAAAAGGTGTACGCGTTGTTTGCAGATCTCAAGGCTGCATTTGATAATGTGGATAAGGAAATCCTGTGGAGGATTCTACAAGGAAAGGGAATAAAAGAACAACTGATAAGAAGATTGGAAAAGATTTACGATGAAACGGAAGTTGTGGTGAGGACCAGTCATGGATATACGGAGGAGTTCCAGACATCAAAAGGAGTAAGGCAGGGATGCGTAATGAGTCTACTTCTGTTCAATCTGTATGTAGCGGATTTAGCTGAGGTAATGAAAAAGAGAGGAATAGGAGGAATAGAGGTAGATAAGATTAGGGTGTGGAATTCAGAGTATGCGGATGATATTGTGATGGTAGCGAGAAATAGAGATGCACTGATAGATATGATGAGCACAATGAAAAGATTCCTAAAGGAAAGAAAATTAGAGCTATGTACAGATAAGACAAAGATTGTAGTGTTTAATAGCAAAAGAAAAGAAGGCAAGGAGGTATGGAAATGGGGTGAAAAATATATAGAAGAGATACAGACTTTTAAATATTTAGGTTTTATGTTTAACAAGAATGGTAACTATAAGGACCACATTAGAGAATTGATAAAAAAAAGGTAGGATTGCGGTTAGAAAGGTCTGGGGACTAGGAGAAAGAATATGTAGGGGAGATTTCTTAAGAAGGTGGATGATGTTTAAATATTTGGTGCAGAGCGTTATGGCGTATGGGGTAGAAATTTGGGGATGGGAAGAGAAGGTAGAGTTGGAAAAAATAATGATGGACTATATTCGTTGGATATTTTCTATAGATTTCTGTACACTAAGGTATGTGATATCAAGGGAACTAGGTATGGTTAAATTAATGGTAGGATGGGGCATAAGGGCAATGAGGTATGAAGAAAGAATTTTAGAAGGTATGGGAGGAGATATTGTGAGGCACTGTTGGAAGGAAAAAGAAGCTTATGGGTGGAAGGATAGGTATAGTATTGAGAGAGAAAGATATTACAACAGGAACGGATGGGGAATAGGTATACTGGAGAAACTGAGAAGAGAGGGAGCAAATTTAGAAAATGAAATAATAAGTAGGGAAAGAGATAACCAGAGACAATGGGAAGGGAATAAAATCCTAGAGGCAAGGTATAATAAAAGATATAGAGTATTAGATAAGTTAGATGGAGGTCCGGAATATTTGAAGAAGAATAGTTTAAAAAGGGTAAGGATAGGTGATGATGTAAGAGGTTTAACCCCTTCGTTGGCATTGACGCAAAAGTGCGTCAAATTTTTCCGTGCCCTGTGTGGCATTGACGCAAAAGTGCGTCAACCTTTTTTTCCTATAACTTGCTTCGATTTGGCATCCAAGTCTTACACGGGGGTTTTTGGGGTCGCTGATTACGAATCTGAATTCAAAATTTGCAAATTCAAAATGGCGGATCCAAAATGGCGGATAAAAATGCAAAAAATTGCTTAATTGGGATGAAATTTGCCATTTTAAATTTTCGAATTTTAAGTTCAGATTCGTAATCAGGGGCCCTCAAAAACCCCAGGGTACAAATTTTTAGGATAAAAAATTTTTCTGCCATTTTGGGCACTTTTTGTCGAATACTCTCTCCCAACGAAGGGGTTAATAAAACTGAGATGCGGAAATTTGGAAGAAGCAAACAAATATTGGTTAGAAAAAGATTGGAAAAAATGTATTTGGTGCGGTGATGGCAATGACTGTATGGAACATTATAGGGGTATTCAAATAAGTTAGAGTTTAACGATTTGACAGGTTATGTCGGGTTAAAGTCGAGTAAAAAGTTAATTTTCATACTTTTAACCTAAAGATTAATGTGATAGGTTTAATGAGTCACTTATGTATTTTGCATAACCTTAAAGAGTAGCGCGCCCAAAGTTAATTAATTAACTTTTTACTCGACTTTAACCCGACATAACCTGTCAAACCGTTAAACTTTAACTTATTTGAATACCCCTTATGTAAAGGAATGTCAGAGAGCGAGTGTATAGTTTAAGGATTTAGGTAATGACGAGGCGGAGAAGTGGAAAAGGCTGTGGAGTGATGAACTAGATTTAGATAAGGGTAAAATGTTGCGGAAATTATGGAAGGAGAGGGAGAAGGAAATTAAAAAGAGAAAGGAAAATCAAGCCAAAGATAAAGATTGTGATAGTTTAGGTTTAAGTAGTTTGGGATAGTTTAAGAGGGCAGCGAGCGTAAAATGGTATGGATGGATGAGTGAGGATAAGTTTTAAATTGTAAACCAAGTCCCTTCCTGGCTATTTATGTAAAAGCTGAAGTAAATAAATTCTATCTATCTATTTATCTATCTACTTGAGGAAACTTATGATCTCTTGTCTGAAATTTAAGCATAGATTTTGACAGAAGTTCAATCTTCAACTTAACTAGTAGTTACCATTTTACATGAATTGTTTATTAAAATCTATATGGAGACAATATGGAGACAAAACCAAAAATGAAATAAAGTATAACAAAACAAATTTTTATCAGGGTTCTTTATAGATCAATAATAATTTTACGCGCAATTATTCATGATATTAGCCCTAGAATCCATGACTGGGGTCGATTTCGACCCCAGGCGAACTTTGAACTACGCTCCTGAGCTAGCGAGTGACATTATCGAGTCAGGACCTGAACCATAATTCATTTCAACTTTCTAAAAGTAGGGTTATGTCGGGCGCAGCGTTAGTTGTTCGCTAGCAGTGAAGTAGCACAGTCGTAAAGCGGGCGTGGGGTCGATATCGACCCCAGTCGTGACTTGCCGTTTGAGTTTCGTCACGGTAAGCTAATTTTATTTTTTTGCTAGAATCAATATATATCATGTATTATTACGTAATCTGAGCATAAATAGTCATAAATATTATTTAAGACGAAATATCACACAATTTAGTCGGTAAAAATCCCGTTGCCTAAGAAGATTGACATTTCGCAGAAAATGGCTGGGCGATATAATGTTTCATTTTTTTCATATTTTTTACTATTTTGTATCAAATAAAAATGAAATAGTACTTAAAATACAATTTTTTATGGTTTTTTCATCGACTTTTTCCGTATTTCAACTTTGCGAATTTCTTCATCTTTATAGTCCCAAATAGTAGGGGAGCCCAATGGGGGATTTGGTGATTTACTCGAGCGCGACAGATTAACATATAGGGGGATCCTTGCACCCTGTTGTGTACCTCCACTATATATAAGCCCTTAATATAGGATCGCGCGTCTAGGGCAGCCGATCAGAATAGTAAAAAAAAATCGATTGTTAAAAATACTCGAGCGCGTCAGATTAAGGTAAGGTGGGTTAATAACATGTAGAAAAGTGTGCATTTCAATAATCTGACGATTTGAGCGTGACGTAAGGGAGTGGGAGGGTCACAAACTTGCAAAAAAAAAACGTCACCTTGACATTTTCGAGCGCGGTCGAATTTTTTTTTATTTTGAAGGAAATAATTCAAGAATAACGGAAAAAATATAATCTGACGATTTCCACAAGCCGAAGTAGCACAAATCGTCAGAAAAGTTTAGTGCGTGCAGCTGCAGTGAAGCATGTATTCCCCACTCCGCGTCTCTATTTCCCTTTCACTTTTTATCGATCTCTTACTGGGTCTGTTTCTTTTAGCTGCACTGACTGAGCTAATTCACTCCAACTTACTGCACTAGTGTGCTCCAGTTCAGCCAGTGCAGGTAAAAGAAACAGACTTACTCTCTCGCACCGTCCCCACGCTACTCCGTTTTCCGTCGCCATAACGATATCACAGCTGATCACATGTTCTGTAGGATCACACGCGTTTTTTTTTATTTAAGTTTTTTTTTTATTTTACTATTTTTTCTGTACTTATATATCATAATTGAAAAAAATAGATTTTTTTATTTGCATTCTATTTTCTATGCATTTTACTTGTCACACTTAGTAATTTAAAATAAAAATTTTTTTTTAATTAAAAAAATTTTTTTTTAATTTGTCAGATTAAGAAAATCCCTCCAAATAATCGTCAGATTATGGGTCAGCGCGACTAGGACATCAAGCTGAATCACCTGTATAATAATCTGACGCGCTCGAGTATTTCAAAATGGCGATTTTTTTTTGCATTATCAAGAAGCCGCCATGAGCTTGCGTCATGTCCGAATCGTCAGTCTTTTGAATGGGAGCTTCTTTCGGGTTCACTTAACATCCTCTCCGAATATCTGACGCGCTCGAATAAATTTTTTTTTTCCCCGTTTTTAACCGTTCCGTACAGCCACCCCCACCATGCAAACCGTCAGATTAGCATACCTCCAATATCAGAGACACGTGGGGCATATACACTATCAATATCTGACGCGCTCGAGTATATTCATGTGACTATTTTTTTTTACATTTTTGAAAACCTGTAGACGCTTCCCCCACCGGTGAAAGGGTGTACATTATATAACCTTTTTTTCTTTCTACCATCTAATCTTCAAAATCCAATAGGTTTCTACGACGCTCGAGTAAATCACCATTTAGCCCGCTGGGCTCCCCTACTAAAATAAATATACTTTTTGAACAGAACATAGCGATGACAATTTTTTTCTAATAGTCTAATGTGTCCTCTTTAAAACCCCGTTTGAA